CGTAGAAGAGGTAAAGAAAAAAGTTACTAGAAAAACTTAATAGCATTACCTCAGAAGCATATAAAAACGGTTCGACCCGTGGAAAACCCGTTTGTAAAAATGAATATCACCTAACGGACAGTACTCTGAAGGCGATTAATGGTTTCAAGACGTTGGCTTAAATAACAAGTCTGCACTAACTATCTAAACTTTTGGGTACCTTCCACAAATTGCGAGCGCTTTTATATGGTTTTGGTTTAAAAGTTCTGGACAGATGCGTCAAAATACTACAGCGGGGAGAGGGTTTTCCATGATACCGTTGGCCAGTCACGGTAAATTCTGAGAAGTCATTTAATCCATATGCATAGAATAATACTATTTGGCAACTTCCGTAAACTCTGAGGATTAAAGTTTTTAATTTAAACGCCTTGATTGTAAAAAACGATAAATCTTAATGAAATCTTATTTTCTTATTTGAGAATATTTTTATGTTTTTTCAAGGAAAGGCGTCCTTTGGGAAAATGAGTAAATTTATGCACTGCCTTGACACAGGGCATACCTTTGCATGGGACAAAGCACGCATCGTCGGAGTTTGCCCCTCTAAAGAGGCCGACAATTTGATGAGGCCATGCACTCCGTTGATTCATGCATCAACCGGCGTATCGAGTTGGCTGGAGTGTACAAACACCTCAAAGAAAGGTGGAAGAGACTACAGCCGACAATTATGGACCAACACGAACCGCAATTAACGCTCACGCCGGATGACCTGGACTGACCCGGATCGACTCAAATTATAGTTGCCAATTAGCCATTACGCCAATGCGACTGTTAATTATGTCCACCACGATGTGACGCAAATTGCAACTACGAATTAGCGCCAACACTAAATGACTATATAACTGTATCAGCACTTTGAACTGCTATCTGTTCTTTGCACAATTTTTTAAGTCTGACGACAACCTGGAGATCCAATGTCAAAAAGTTACTGAATAAATTTACTCATTATCTCAAAGGACGCCTTTCCTTGAAATTAAATTCTTTGGGATGCCTGCCTTCCAGTTTATACGAAATGTTTTTGTTCGCAGGCCACAGACGAAAAACTAATCCAATTTCAGGAGGCCTGTATTATAAGTGAGTTCTCGTTCCTCTTTATTTATAGCAGGGATACAAGTGATTAAATGAATGCAAATCCGTCTGTGATAATTTCGAAGGCCAAAAAAACGTCAGAGTCAAAAAGGCACTTTCAACTTAAATAACTGCCATAAAAATATACCTTACCCTTCTTTGCAGCTTTCATGAGGATTTGACAGGCAAACATCTTGGCTTCTGGCGTTAGGATTGGTACTTTCTTCTCCTCTTTTTTCTCAAGCACTTAATTCGATAAAAGGGCAAAATGTTGACGGGGGTAAAATGTCAAAGTTTGTTTATGAGCAAATATTTCACGTGGATTAATACAGTTAGGTCTAAAAATATAGGCTGTATATGGAATTAAAAAAGCAGAAAATTGATACTTTTGAGCCTTTTTATGATAACATCGCTTAGTGCACTTTACCTGGAAAAAACCATTTCAAATAAACTCAAAATGGCACCTATCGCAACAGCTGTGTTCTGGCTCGTGTGAACTTTGGAAAGAGCCTGTTTCGTTGTAGTTGTTACGATGTACCAACTAAGAATGCTAGAAGACTAAAGTTTATTGTCCCATCACATGCAATATTCACTAAAGTTTTGAAATCCATCCTTGCTTAGAAAAGTTTAGCTGAGTGAGGTTTTACTATCTATTTTCTTGCGAGCCAGATCCGTCTTATTTCAGTCATGAAATTACTGCCGGTATTTTCGATCGACAGTAGAAAGCCCTGTGCGGCAAAAATGCGTATTTAGGCGGTATACATATGGTATTTATTCTTGATACCCTTTTACATGCAAATTTTACAAAAATTGTCATCAAATTATGTTTTAATTTTGCACTCGAAATAAGGATATTGTGAACAATTCGGGCACGGCGCGCTTCGCACAGCTCGCAGCCGGGAGATACTCTCCACCCGAGACGCAGCAACATATGAGCCCTTCTACCTTACACACGCAAACGCCTGGAACACGAACGTTCTCCTTCATTTATGGGTATCTGTCTTTCTTAGAAAGGATTTCTTATTCACTAATAATCCTCAGTTTGATCTACCCTTTCAGTTACGTTTAGGTATACGAGCTGTATGATTTTCATATGATGAAAAGGATGCATTTATCTATATCAATCAGAAGAATTAATATAATACTTACACATTTTGCAATGTTGTATATTTTTATTAAGAACAATAGTGCACATGCATATAACATGCTATTTAAATTGATATTTTTCACACTCAAACAATCTCGGGATTAAAAGCTTTTGTATCTGACTTTTCTGTAAGTATAAAATTTGAATAAAATCAGATTTGCTGACAAGTATGTAAGTAAAATATATTTATATCGTGGTTTTTTATAAGATATATTCACACTTAGAAAGGTAGCGATCACAAATAGCAAAGAATGAGTAATAATTGAGTAGTCATATTTATTGGATTGGGTTTTCCTGGTGCACTAAAGGGCGTGCATCCAAAGTCCGGCATCCTGGCGGGACTTAAATATCTCGGGAATATGCGACAACCCCACTTAAGTAATCATGCCCGAGATTGGGCGACCATGAGGGCATTAATAGACGATTTCATACGATGAGATTTGAATGACCCTTGTGCGGTCATTTTTTTAAAACAGGAAGCCAGCCTTTCGTTGAGCATAGAGCTTGCATTCAATGTGGGTTCCTTTGAAATGAGTACAATAAAGGATCTGCTTGAGCATGTCCTCTGTACAAATATATTTGAATTTATAAGGGAATCCTAACTGCATTTCAATGCCTCCTATTTAAGAAGTCCTTATTTCTATGAAGCGTAGTTTTTTCAGTCGGCAGAAAAGACGCACATTCAATGCCGATATTTTGGCATATCAGAAATATCTCGGGAATAGGCCATGCGATCATCATTTTTGCAACCTCACTGTAGTACTCACACCGAGCCGACAACGCCTCACGCAACTGGCCTCACTTTTATGAGATCGGGCGGCTTAATTTTCGTTGAAACTATTCCTTGTTATCTGTTTTCGGAGTACTTGGTGCATATCTTCCTCTGGTATAACAGCATCAAAACAAATAAGACAGTTTATGACTTAAATTCATTCTATGATGCAACTGGTAAGTAACCAAATTTTCTTACAGTTCGACAATCTGTTCAGATTTGATCTACCCAGGAGGCATTTTTAGGACAAGTTAAGAGCATCCGAGACGACTTCGATAACTAAGCCATTTGCTTGTTATTTTTTCCCAATGTAATAACGTAACATAAAAGTATCTTCCTTAGAACATGTGTCAGTTACATGAAAGGGGGATTTGATCGTTAAGTGTGTCTAAATGCATCAGTATGCACCAAGAGCAAAGTGCTGGGAGGGATATTCTTATTCCGCTCTTTTCTTTTAAATTTTCACCGGTGTAATCCGAGTCCTTAATTGACTCTCTCAGGAAAGTGGCATCATACTGCTCTGGTTGGCAGCTTAATAATCTATAAACACCCATCATAAATGACGAGCTGAAATTATTCACCCCTAAAGATATTATCCATTACTGCTGATACTTGACTGATATGTTAAATTTACGACCCCTGTAGTAGAAAATGGTCCCATAATACAGTAATTTGCTGACTCCCGGTTTGCAAGACTGATGATAGCTCTCATTCCAACCCAGATCTGCGCTTATTATAGGTTCAAAATGATAAAAAGCTCTGTCTGTAACAGAACTAGGTGATATATACCCTATCCTAACGACTCACATGAAGGAACCTCAAAGCATGAAAGGGGAAAATGACATGGGCTCGAAGATTGGACTTTGATGTTGCTGATGCGTGTACTGTGTCCGTCTGAGTATGCGTTTTGCTGGCTAACAACAGCCGAAGCATTTTGGATTCCTACCCCGCCTCCAGAGTTCTAGTATGACAAGCAATCCTTGCAAGATGCTAAGTTAGGAAATTTTCCCGCGTAGTGCCACTTAACTGAACTTAAAAAAAGATACCAATACTACAAATTCATTCATTTAAAACATAAGTTTTAGACGCAGAAAAGAAACACAAAACTCACGGTCTCGTTCGGTGGTTTTCCCCCTTTTGGGACGACTGGTTTGCTGCTTTTTCAGAGGTTTCTGCGAATCTTCCTTTGGGGGCTGCTGCGCTGTGTTCACCTCCGGAGTCCCACTCACGATGGCCAAAAGCCGTTGAATGTGCCCAGCTGAGGTCATCTCCTGAGATGTTTTGGAATGTGAGAGCATTTAAGGTCCGTTTTTTATAAACGGTTGGTTCGAGAACACTGATACATTTTTCATTCAGAAGAAGAAGGAAGTGCATTCGCCGGAAGAGGTTTCTTAGATGTCTGGTGTGTTGGTTAGTAGTGTTGCCCAACCATATTTAGAGACGAGATATTCAGGCTCACGGCTCTCGCTTTATGCCGCTCTTTTCGGTCTTAGTAGCCTGCCACAGCAAATAACGAGATTCATGAGCCTGTATTTTAAGTATCTGAAAGTGAATGGATGAAACAACTTCCCGAAACGTCAGAAATCTAACAAACTTCTCACTGTGAACGCGCTTCCTTCTCCTGACTCACCACTTAGAAATTGTATTTTTACTTATATTAAAATTTTACATGGTTTTCACATGCTAATATTTTTATCTGAAGGTTAAGTATGAGCCATCGGTAAGGAAACTAGTAACAAATGTTAAGCACCGTTCTGCTCCCTGGAAGGAAATATTTTATGAATAGAATAGAAAAATTTGAACATTTAATCGTATGTATTTCATGCTGTATTGTAGAGATTCATTTAGAGTTTTGGAAGGACTTAGTTCGATTCTGAACCTCAGACGAAGCTACTTAGACAGCATTACTTGATATGGATACGGCAATCCCAAACCTAAAGAACGTTAAACTTGTCCAGATATGCTTAACTTCTCTACGTTTTCACGCTTGCGTGTAGGCTGTCCTGAACTGAATTAACAATAAATATTTAGCGCTGAGGAATTCAAACTTATATATGTCTGTTACAACAAATCTAAAACTGACTCCATTTACCAATAACTAAGTATAGAACGTAGCCGTCTAATATTTCTGAGAAATTCCTTTACAATCTCAGCTGTTGTAATGGTTTATTTTCCTGTAAAATCAAAAGGCGGGTGCTTTTAATTCATAAAAATTACTTAAGAAACAGGATAATTCCAAAAGCCCAGCATATAGTAGAGTACCATATAAAAAACCTGTTATGTTCAGTGAGTCAATTAAATGAAAGTTTATTCAGTGGTTACACAGGATTTCAGATAAGCAACTCCTTACAATAGAGGGCGTTCTGAGTGTATTGGTTCGTTATTTTAAAATAGACCACGATGCCAAAATAAGAAAAAACATTATTGATTAACAGGCGAACAGATTCCACCCCTACAACGATCCATTATTTGTGTAAAAGTAATCCGCTTTGCAAAGCAGCCGATATTGTAAAGTGGCAAATATCATAGGTCTAGTTGCGGCTTCTTAAGACCCGGCTCATGTCGGTCAAATCCAGCTGGTGAAAAAAGATTGCTGGTTTTGCGAACTGGCTCTGTTTAACATTTCACGTCTAAAACACCACTTGCTACCTACTTATACATGGGAACGTCCACACTTTTTATGGGTCTATGCTTTAATGCATGTCAGTCATTCATAGTAACAGTGTCTGTATCTGTATTTTGATGTACGAAAACAACCACTTCTCATGCTAATATATTTTTTCAACGCGTCTTTTACGAAGCTTGTAGATATTAATTGAAATACTGTATACATGGGCCTTTTGTCTGTGAAGTGAAAATAATCCGCGTGTATTGTTATTCATTATATAAAAAGGAAATTCAGCCTGATAAAAGGGGATGATTTAAAGCCCTATCTTTTGAACATTTTGATAAAATATCAACCAAACGAAATTTCCCGAAAGTGAACCTACATAAATGGAAAAATGCGGCTTAACTATACCTATCACCTTTTTAATTGAAGTCGCGAACATGCATAAAGTGAGTAATAAAAACCAAATTATGCAGTTACACTAATTTACAGACACAATGCCAAAAGTTAGGTTTTCAATATTTGTTTCTCATATATTGATTTACCCAGTGCAGAGGGAAGTCTGACTAGTTCAAGTATCACATGTAGTCAATTTTTCGATATCTATAAAGTTTTTTAACTAATTTTATGCTACAATTTGAAGTATACCCGCCAGAGGCTAGCAAACAAAGTCGCTCTGTCAGTTAAATAGACTTCCATTATTTCTGTAGCCATAAATAAGTCACTCACCTTTCGTTCAGGTTACTTTATATGTTATAGAGTCAACAGCATATTTTTTTCTAGAATTTGGTCTGATAACGAGTCATCTCAGTCTGCGGTCTTAACAACCACTTCATGAGAACATGCTATTTTAGCCTTCATCTGACATTAATTTCCGACTCTCTCAATTAATGCCAAACGTAAACCGCATGTAAATTCAGCGGGCAGCTGAATTATGCGTGGTTATAACACTATTTGCTTCATTTCGGATATCATGGTTTATTCACTAAAGTGATTAATTACTGATGTGATACCTTTTTATTTTTTGACCATGAATTTTGGGACGAAAGATGTTCCAGATGGCTAACAATAGTCCTTATTAATGATTATTTTACTAGTCTGCATTGAATGCAAATGATGCTTAGGAAGATTCGTTTGATCACAAAGGTAATAGTCATCCTATAAAGGAGATGTAGCAATATCGTGAAAAACGTAAGGAGCATTAATCGATTACCAAGTGCTGTAACACCGCTTTACGCAATATATAACTGAACGGTACTTCTGTATCAAAATGGAAAGTTAATAATATATTCAAATCAGTAGCAAAGCATTAGAAAGTTATTTTGTGTCCATCTTATTTGGGATTCGTTTATTGAACTGTTAGTAAAAAAACTTGAAAGAATGGGGACTCAGTGGTCTTTTTTACGATTTTTTTCCATGATTGAAACAAAAGTCTAGACACTTTCGACGGGGAAACTATTTTCTTGATTGTAGCAAGGTAAGGCGAATGACTATTATGTAATCAATTGTGGTTTAGTTCAGTTCTAATCGTAAGCTCCCGTGTAAAGATATGTATTTAAAAAAGTCAAACTATCAGGCTAATCTGCTTCATGTTGGACTTAGACATGCCAGATAAATGTCATATATTTTTTAATCTCTTTGACGTGTAATATTCGACTTACTATGGCAAATTCTTGAAAACCGAAAACAGTGTACAAACGAGAATAACAGCAGTTTTAAAACTTACACACAATAGCATTTATATCAAATATATGGAAAAACTTCATGTTCGCTAATTTTGCACGGAATTAGTCGGGCCTAATTTTCGGAGTTATTACTTGCTAGGTTAACCTTTAGTTAATATGATAAATGCTTGAGGAGAAGATAATTCGAATTTATGAATTAAACGCGTATTGCTAATTAGACGAGTAGGTCTATATATAGTAGAAAAATGTTCTTCACAACACGTCCACGATTGATATTCAAGCGAAAATTTTACTGTAGTCTGAAAACGAATGAATGATTGAGCTCTACACTTTGCCTTATCATTATAATTTGGGTTTGTATATATGAACCCTGGACATTATACCTCAATTACCGAGATTCCAAAGCATTTATGAATGATTAAGCAATAAAGATCTAGGATATGTCTTAAAAAGCTGAGCATCGAAATTTTGGTAGCCTTAAAGTTCATACAGATAGTAAAAGAGAAATGCGGAAATGAAATTACCTGCAATAATTCTATATCCTCCACTAGATTTGCAGTTGCGTTTAAAGCATCCAAATGCAATTCTGCACAATCCGGATTAGACAGAATACCAAGGAGCATTGGAAGAATTTTCAGTTCGTCAGCCATATCTCTTAATTTCTCTGTCAAAATAATTGAAGTGCTAATACTTTCGGTTACTGCAGAATACTGTTATATAGGTTAAATTTATAGTTAAACTTTTACAGGGCATAAACATACTCCATTAGCCAAACTGATTAACACTTCCGATTATGACTCTTAAACCCATTATAGAAACAGCAGCCCTCATGCAAGACTTAAACATGCAGTTAAATTCCAAGTATCCACAAGTTCACAATGTTTTTGGCGCATCAAGAACTACAAATTCTAAAAGAAAGTGTTGCGACCCTCGAAAATGCAAAAGGTAATTCATTAACGGAAAATAAATCTCTTCCCTATAACCTGAATTTATGACAACATATTATATTCCTAAAAAGCCTACCCAGGGCGTAGTTACGACTAGCAGTTTAATAGCTTTGTAAGTATTAACGTATATTTGGAAAATTTTTGAAATTTGGAATTGCTACGGTGGTTCTGTAAGTGTTGTTCTTCTTGAAAATTTTAAAAGCAACATTGTCTACGATTATTCATAATGTATTCACTGTTAAAAGTAATCACCGGTAGATGATCTAACCATTTGAGCATTTTCTTTCATTCAAAAGATTCTGACCTTACAGTAAATGTTTTAGGAATACTGCCGAAACCACCTGTTTTGTAGCTAAAATTCTATCAAATTTTATAACTCATTTGCAATATATGTAAAGTACAATTTCGATAGATACTTACTGTCAAGAAACGCCTGCGATAAAGACTGCAAGGCCAATTTTTGAAGCACTGAGAATTCTGAATTTATGAGACCAACGATGGCGATGAAAGAATTGTTGTCAAGCAATTTATGGCGTATATCGAAGTCCTATAGTGTAATCGTGCGTATAAATCTTACCCTGATCATCTGAACTAAAACTTCCAATGAGTTCTTTTTAATGTCTGGGTCCTCTGAAGATAAAAAGCTTATGACGATGTCTAGGCCACCGCATTCATATAGTTGAAGGACAGAAGCGTAATTTTTGCACATGTTAGAAAGGAACTGGAGACCGAATTCGTGTGTTGTAGCAAATTCTGTCGAATAAGTAAATTTATAACATTACCATCCCGATCAAAAAGCTTTAAAACTGTCTTTATAATATGTGGAATCTTTTGAAATGTTGACTGCCCATTCGTCAATTCTGACAGCTTTTCAAATAGCATTATTGTGTTTCGTTTTAAAGTTTTATTTTCACTGGTGAGAAGGTGCAAAACCGATTCCAGTTGGATATGTTCTAAGGCAAGTTTTTTATTTTCATCCGCTTCTATGGTTAGTCGTCAAAAACCTATACCTTTCGCAGCGAATTTAA